GATCGGATACTTAAGGTCAGGAATTGGATACTTGTTGTCAAATTAAAATTTCGATTCCGCCTATCGATTCCTATGTGCTTTTTTTTTTTTTTTTTTTTTTTTCTGTGAGGACCGGAGCTAAAGTACTTAAAACACTTCAGTCTTTTTAATGTAACACTTGAATGCAAGTTGCTCTACTGCATTGCAACCAGACTTTCACCTCTTGTAATATCCTGTCTCCCCTCGGGGTTTCAGGCCAGACGGCCTCGCTCTGCCCCTCACTTAACCCCAGATCTTGAGCCCTTATCTTCGGCTACAGTCCGACTTTACCAGCCTTTCCCAGGAGCTGGAGCATGTGCGGTGGCAGCAGCAGCAGCAAAACTCAATCTGTGCAGCTCTGGCCAGAGAATCTCCATCCAGTGCCAAACAAACAAAGCCTCAGGAGGTTCACACAGAGCACAACTCATCAGAGCATCCCTGCCAGGTCCCAAACCACAGAAGGGAACAAATGCAAAGAGAGGGCAAGGGTGTCCCGTTTCAAACGCAGGGCCAAGAAAAGAGGAAAAACACACAACTCTGTCAAGATGGTCTACGTTTGGAAAAAAGAAACCAAAAAAGCTAAGTATAATATCTGTGATAGCTAAACATGTTGCAGGAGAGGTGTCACCACCAACATGACAAAGCACTTTAATTTAATAGATCGACCAACGTGATTCTATTTCTAAATTACAATGATTCTTCTGTTTCATTCCTCAACCTTTGACGTGCGATCAATGTTGTGATCACTTGGTTCATCCCTGCAGCGTACGATCACATCAGTGTGATTTAAACATTTGAATCTGCGTTCACGCTGCGCTGACCTAAAGACAGCAGCTGTCTGTCATGAATGAAACAGCTTCACAGTCTCTCCACACAGTATCATTATTTCTGTTACAAACATTCAAATCACAGAAGTACTGGGATAAAAGTTTATAGTTCAGATAAAAACGGTGTACGATGTGTATGGTAGCGATTAAAATAGAGTAAATCACCTTTTGAAAGTAATTTGACACTTCAAATGAAGATTTATCGATTAAATTGTTACGCCAGTAGGTGGCGAAAAGGGGCTGTTAAAATGTATTTGTCTTTGAATCATACAAGAGATTCGTTCAAGAACACTGATTCATCCAGTAATGAAACAAGTACATCTTGAGTGAGTCATTTAATCATTCATAAATTGCATGTGATTTTGTTTAGCTGTCTAATGTTTTATCTTCAGAATCATGAGAGAACCACAACTTCCATTGGGGAAAAAAATAAATTAATTAATTAATTTATCCAGAATCATGCAGTTCTATTTTGCACACAAACAGCTCTTAAAGAGTCCAGTTTTTATGTAGCCTGTTGAGCCTGTTGAATGGTATTCAGCTTCAATAAATGGTTTGCAAAAAAGAGACACAGGATAAATGTTTGATATGTTTGATATCTCACATTGGAATCGAAAAGAATTGGAATCGATAAAATTCAAACAATACCCAACCCTA